AAAATCACCTAAAAGACGACATTAAAATACTGTAATCCACGCATGTTTCCTGCTCTTTACGTGCTACTAGACTTTGAACTTCTTTATCTGACTAAATATTTATTAATTACCTAAGTTTTGTTCTAGTGATATGAAGATACAAGATTAAGGAGGAAAAGTCTTGAAAAAGCAAGATAAGCTGTATCTGTAACAAATTTACTGCCTATTACTAAGCTTTAAGAAAATAAAAGTTCATTTTTTTAAGCTTGACACAGTAAAAATCTATACTCACAGTTTACATTCACAAAATAACACCTAGGAAAAATCAAACTAAAGCTGTGAGCCTCAAGAAAAGTGCTTAACTTCACAATTTTTTTTTCATACCTGTCTGGATTTTGACACGGTGCAGTTTGGAGGTAAACTGGTCGTTAACTGTAAACACATGGCCATTTTCGATCTCCTTGGACTTTGGCTCCTTGGTGAGAACTCTCTGTGTTGGCTTCCCACAGGCCAGAGACTGCAGTGCTCGCACCAGCTCCCTCTCTGGGATGTCCGTCTCCTGCTGGATTTCCTACATAGTGAAGAGGTCAGGCTTGGTGTCAACACAGCACAGAGGCCACAGACTGAAATGACCTTTTCCTGCTTGTCCACTACACATGAACACATATGGGGACCAAAATATCCTACTATGTCGGGTACTAAGGAATTAAGTTGTGCACCTCAAAGGTGGACTTCTCTCTGTTGTTGAAAAGCATGAGAATGGTCATCTGGAAGGTGGACACTTGGAGTATGTGCTTTCTAGTATTGGAGCCTGTCACCTGGGCACCACCTACTCCGACCTCTGACCCATCCTCCTGTTCAAATGTTGGGATAAGGCAACATAAAAACATTAGTCAGAATCCATTTTGACAAGATGTCCACAAAACAGCAGATTTCATTTTTACTTTCCATTATTTAAAATTGTTACATTTATTTGCATTTGTTAGTCTGTCATTTGCTTATATTTAAAACACTAAGCTAATTTATAAAACAGAAAATTCACAATAAGTAATGAACGTAAAGCCAGGTCCACTTGTTATTCTAAAATGAAATAAAGGTTGCTGAAATGTACTGAGACTCCCCTTTCCAAGTGGAGCGTACCTTTTTAATTGGCCCGTAGAAGGTGGCATTTAGATCTGCAGAGCCCATATGGTGCTGCAGGGTGAGCTGTCTCCCACTGTGCTTCCCAAGGTAAAACCTGCATGCAGAGGAGAGTCATACTAGATTAACCTACAACAAATGATCAATGCAACTTTGCTTTCTGCAGCAGGACACAGTAGATATTTAGTTTGAAATGCTGTGTCTAGCAAAACATACACGGTAATATTTTCATGAAAGGGACTAAAAGAAAAAGTAATCTCCATGTACTACTTCTACTGGTAACAACACATATAATGGATTTATTGTTCCTTGTGGATCACACGGAGAAACCTTTTAGAAAATCACCAGACTGAAAAGCTAAGTGCTGTTATGAAAGCTCTCACATGTAATCAATAAACTACTAAATTTGTGAGTGAAGTGAACAACTAACAAACCTTCTGAAGACTTCAAATGCATGTCGAGGTGAAGGTGGAATATTGCACTTGGGTGTTGCTGATTGCGTTGGCCAGTATCCCGTGGTCAGGACTCTAACAGTGAGATCGACCCCTCCGAGTGACACCTTGAGTTAGGAAAAACAAAAAACAACACATACGATCACCTACAGTGATGCCATAGTGATACTATGTGGTAATATTGGTAGCATTTAGATTTGGGAGAAAGACATCCTCGCTACTTTTAAGACCTGACTTAAAGCTTTTGTTTTTGATAAAGCTTATAGATGAGGCTGGATCAGGTGACACTGAATCCTCCCTTAGTTAAATTGTAATAGGCCTAAGCTGCCGGGGTTTGTGTCAGTGTTTCTTCATCTCTCTCTCTGTGTTTATACACCACTCTGCATTTAATCATTAGTTATTATTCATCTCTGGCTCTATTCCACAGTGTGTCTTTTGCCTTGTCTCCCACTCCTCAACGCCAACTGGTCACAGGACTTTCCTGGTTCTCCTGGAGATTTCTACCTGTTAAAAGGAAGTTTTTACTTCCCACTGTCGCCATTGCTTGCTCATGGGGAGAAAATTATTGTAGGGTCTTTACCTTACAATATGAAGCACCTTGAGGTGACTGTTACAGTTACTGTGTGCACACAAGATCCAGACATGACAAATATCAGACAACACTACTTGGACCATGAATTTAAAAGCAATGTGCATAAATATGAACTCTGATTGGTTACACTGTTCACCAAATGGAGCTAAAGTAACCCCAGCAATCTGAAAGCACAGCACAAGCCAGAAGCTTATGCACTATGATTTTCCAGGATATGGATAATTAGGTGCCTAATTGTTAATATGTAACTGAGCAGTGCAACAAAGCTCAGTCAATCAAGCAACAATGTCCTGATTACATTTACTAATTAAGCTCTTTATTGTGACAAAAAGTAGATTTTCCTCACCCCAGTCGTCTGTAAATGTTGTCTAAACTCATCCATGGTGGTGTTGGAGATGCTCATGTCTCGGAACATGCCCTCCAGTTTAGAGGTGAACTGACAGCCGCACTCGGTCTGTGCAATAAAGACATGAAGAAGGATTAGATTTATAATTGGTAAGCTATTAAAAAGAAAAGGGGACAGCTCAACCTGAAATCAAGTGTAAGAACATAATTCTGGGCTTCAGAGCCAGATTTAGAGATATTAGCTATAGCGATATCTGCTTCCTCCTATCCTCGTCATGCTCAGTGAACCCCCCAAAAACCAATGTACCATGTATTTGTCATAATTCTGTATTTGTCATAAGTCTTGTCATAATTGGAGACGCTTCCATCTGCAGGGATAAAGCGGCGGGTGCAGTTTGGTAGAAAAAAATAAATAAAAATACAATTCCAACATAAAACTGCTCACATCAAGGTTTGTGGATATCTTTGAGTAACTGGGTCATGATTTCTGCAAAGAGTCATTTCTGCTGAGTTTTTCCAAATGTTTTTTTTTTTCTATGGCCGCTTTGAGCAAAAGAAAGCGAAGGACATCTGGTTCTATTATATTCAGGAGAAAGCAGACATTTCTACAGCTTATATCTCCAAAACCAAACAAGTCTTACTGGAAAAATGGATAAAAAGCACTACAGAGCACAGAAAAAGTGAGTATATTTGATTTTGAAGGGAACTGTCTAAATGGTAAATGGCCTGTATTTATATAGTGCTTTACTAGTCCCTAAGGACCCCAAAGCGCTTTACATATCCAGTCATCCACCCATTCACACACTGGTGATGGCAAGCTACATTGTAGCCACAGCCACCCTGGGGCGCACTGACAGAGGCGAGGCTGCCGGACACTGGCGCCACCGGGCCCTCTGACCACCACCAGTAGGCAACGGGTGAAGTGTCTTGCCCAAGGACACAACAACCGAGACTGTCCAAGCCGGGGCCCGAACCGGCAACCTTCCGGTTACAAGGCAAACTCCCAACTCTTGAGCCACGATCGCCCATAAAGTAAAGAAACATTTATATAATGATCAAACACAGGCAAGTGGATACAGTCTGAAAACTGTATGTTTCCTTTTACCTAAACATCCACTGAAATGCAAAAACACGGAGAAAAAAATAATGTAAAGAAGTGTGCATAACACATCTGAGCACTGTGGCCAGTCTCCAAGCACCCAGGGATCTTTCATTTTAGTTATATCATGCCACATGCCTGCTCACCTTAAGTTTTGAGATCATGTTCTTTTCCGAGTCGTCAGAGACGCTCTTGTTAGTGAGCAGCCTGCGAGCCAGGTGCTGCTTGTAGTACCTCTCAAACACATCCTTCTCCTGCATGAAGCGGAAGAGCACCATGGCCTTGTCCAGTATAGACTCCACTTCTTGCTCTGTCAGCTGGATAAAAATAACAGGGTCAGATTATACCCATTAATCAAAAACAGACTTTATGATTTATTTTCCCCAGCACTTTTGAAAACACAAAAGAAAGCAGAAACACAACTTTTTACATGAAAACATTGTGTGGGGTTTTTTCTTTTTGGCATTTTTTGAAGTGAGGTTATAAATTTGAAAGAAGCAGGTCAGTAACATTTGTCATACGTTCTAAAAATAAGAGCATGAATGCATGATTAGTGGGCTCACCCCTTTAACACCCTTCTTCAGTTTGTCATCGATGAAGAGTGAGAGGTATTCAGGCGAACGTGAGTTCAGGTTAAGGAAGTACTCAAAATCACCAGCAATAGTTTGTTTAAAGAGGCGGTCATTGTTGAAAGACTCCTGGAGGAAGCGGTCAAAACGGGACTTCAGGTCCAGCAAACCCTGCAGGAAGACAGGAAATGCAGCAGCGGCGTGCATTAGAAGGAGCTTAACAAACAGTAGCTACAGCAAAGGAAAGGTGGTCTCATCAGAAAAGGTGAATCTGCAAGTAAGAGCTGATGTGGTAAAAGAAGAGGCTGCTGTTTTCTACCAGAGAGTAAGAAGTGAGTCATTATTTTAACCAAGAACTTCAAAAGGATTTAAAGGCTATAAGATTTTCAAAATCACTGATGTCTTTCTAGTTGCCAGAAGGACCTCACATGTTAAGTACAGTGCAAAGACTCAGTGTGGATGAGGGTAAAGACCATCATGGTTTGTGGTAACAAACATGGGAGCGAGAGCAGTTATTCTCTGCTGGGAAGTAATTAAAGTGCATTATGGTCAAGGCTCATCACGCAATGGCATGCTGAAGTGTACTGAGCCAGAGGAAATCCATCTGTGATCTCTTACAAGGTAGCACATTCTCAGTATCATCAGAACAGTCCATCTTCAGCAACATTATGTCGACTGATGTCGCAGTGCCGTACCTGAATATAGTCCACAGGGTTTTTCCCTTCTCCTTCCTCTGACACCAGGGCCTTGCCCTGCTCCCGCAGGTATGAGCTCATACACTCACACATGGTCTTCAGCCCATTGGGAACCCTGCTGAACAGCTTGTACATGCATGCCAAATCTGTAGAGAGGTAAGCATGAATACACACATGAGCACACATCAAAAATCCACTTCTGCCAAAAAAGGGACTGAGCATCTGAGATCTGCAGAAAAGGAGGAGAAATATACTCTCCAGGCACTACAGTTCCAGTTTGACTGAAATCAAATCATCATTGAATTCCTCACATATTACTATTTGTGGCACGAACCAATGGGAACACGATATGACTGTATTACTGAGCCAGTAAAGTATTTCCTGGAAGTGACAGCTTCACGGTTTATTAAAGAGTGTTGGGGATTTTCTATTTCACTGTAACTTGCGTGGATGTCAATTTAAACAATAAATCACTAAAAATATAAACGCTAAAAAGGTGAAGTGGAGCAGCAGGCTGTGACTGAGGGCTTACCATCTGTTTTGCCGTTCTTAAGCATGTGGACCAGGCCTGAGTTTTCCATTTCTACGATGGTCTTCATGTGTTTGGAGATGAGCTCACGTTCCACCACCTTGACGATGGGCTCCTCTGTGGATTTATCCAGGCAGTGCATTACCCGCTCGATCTCCTCATTAATCCTGGCTTCAACTTTCTTTATGTACACACTGGCACTGTTTTCTGCGAGAAACTTTTGGCTTTCCATCTGAGTGAAAACAAGAAACAGTTTATACAAGAGGTTTTAGTTCCTTTAAGGGAAGCCACAAAGAAATATAGACCCAAATTAAAATAAATAAATAAACACATAAACAAGGAAAATGGATTTCTCTCCCAAACCTGGAAAAATTCTGCAGACATTTCTAAAAATGGTGCTTCAAAGTCTTCTTCATACACAGATCTCCCTTCAAGGCCGAGAATCATTAACATTTGGCAGGCATTTCTAATGGCTCCCCTAGAGAAGGAGAAGCAAACAAAATGGTAAGTAATGCAAAACAAAACATAAAAAAAAACTTTTGTGGAAGCTCATTTCACACTCAGTATAACTGCCAACTAACTTTTTACTATTCATCCATTGAAAAACAGTTACAGTCCACAGTGCATGAAATTCAGAATAGTCAATGTTTTTAAAATGCCAGAGGCTCTGAGGCTTTTGCCCACTGGGTGCAAATGCAGCAGATGTATCTGACAGATCTTATATTTCTAATACCAAAGGCATCTGCCATGTCCACCCCTGGTGAGAAATGATGACTTTTCCATTTAAAGATCAAGAACGCAAACTTCATTTTATTTGAAAACTAAAGATAATTTATTAGATAATGCCATTTGTGACTTTTGGCTACCTGTCCACCACCTCTCCCTTCCTCTCCCGGGCAATCATGTCTAGCAGGGTTTGTCGGAGGTGGTCTCTGATGCAACCGTAGCGAACCACTTGATCCCTAAATATGATAAGGCCCAGGTTGTAGACGTTCTCCACGCTATTCTGCTGTACGTACACCCGATCCTGTGACACAGACACACAAAAATGTCCCAAACAACATTAGAATGAATTAACAGCAGCTGAGCTTAAATGTATATTTAAGCATATAAAATACAGCTGTTATGTGTAAAATATTTATATCTAACGCTCATATGTCTTACTGCATGACTGTATACTCACCATATACATCAGGATGTCTCTAATCATCACCATAGCTGTCTGGTGGTCATTCCAGGCCTGATTTAGGGTCTGGAGGAAGTTATTGTTTAATGAATTGAGAACATCTTCCCGTACCTTTGGACGAGACAGAAACACAGCCTTAGAACTCAAGCAGACACCTGTATTTGTATTTTGTTGCTCGTGCAGCATTTTAATGCGGGCCTTCTTTACTAGTCAGGCACACAACAGCTTGATAACAGTCACACTGCAGTGTGACTCAGCAAAGTAAACTAAATGTCTCAGTGGAGTAAGATTCTTAAGGGCACACTGACCTCTCCTTCCTTCTCCTTCGGGGCAGAGGTAATATATTACGGCCTCTGCTCCCAATGTTACAGGCGACCAAGCTTTATAAATGCACGACTTCTTCTTTTGCACATCCAGATCAAAAGTCAGAAGCAAAACCATAAATCTAAACGTGCACTATGCAAAGTCATGGCTTGCTTAAAAAAATCAACAACAAAAACAAACAAACAATGTACCCCATATTATATTCATCTGTTTTGCCACTTTGTAATGCTGCTTTCCCATCATATCAAATATTACATATATTACAAATCAAAGTGTGTGTGTGTTTATAAATGCTTTATTTAACTTTAACTTTCTTAAACACCAGCTGTAATTAAAGTATGCCTTAAGTTATCAATTTCTGGCCTACATTAAAGAGCCAGAAGACTGCATATGGTCTCATCTAAACTTCAGATCTTAACAGGTTAACATTTGAAATAAATAGATAAACCACAAAAATGACCTTAAAAGCCAGGAGTGATTGTAGAAAATAAACATCTGAGACCGAATAGACATGCTCAATTGGACTTAAAGCTTATTTTCATCCCTTGTCTAGACAACGATGAATCACTGCTGAAAAAATACACATCTCCAAATCCTTCTCTCAATAATTCATAATAACATTAACTATTAGGCCCAAAACAATATATAACCCCCCCCTCCCCGCAAAAAAACTAAACAAAGGCACTTCTGACTGAACCGCTCGACTGTCTTCCAAACTTAAGCTGAGTTGAGACGATGCTGCGTTCGTACCATTACAACTGTTTCTTTCAAAGCGATGCCTTTACCATTATAAGACAATAAAAACACACTCAGCTGTCAGAGAACTCGTCTTTGATCCATTACTTGTTGACATTTCCTGACTGCTCATTTACTAAGCCTGCCAAGCTGAGAATGTGCATTTAATTAAGCTGTAAAACCATCTGGCTGTTATTCAATAACATCGTGCTGAAATATTGCTCATTGTGTGTCTGCTCACTGTAAGCTGCAAAGAAGCATTTGCGACAGATCTCATGGACAGGCATAATTTGCCACTAATTATACATGCTACAAAAATACAAGCGACAGCTTAGGAACAATTATGCTTTCTCTAACTTATTAGAAGGAGTTTTAAGAAGGAATAAATCTCAGATAGCCCTCTTTTCTCCCACTTTTGTTTTTAAAAACAAGCTGCTTAGGATAATCTACTTCACTAACATTTTATTTTCAGTGGTAAAACAAACCAATTACATGTCCGATTTGAGAAAATGACTCCATCATCAAAAGCATCCTAAAGCTCTTCTATAACGCACAGGACAACGCCTGTTTTATGAAGGGCTTTCAGACAGATGTGCCTTCTCTCACAGCTGAAACCCCAGAATAAAACACCACTGAAGCCCCCCATCCTCAAACCTGGGCTCTTCCTTGCCTTCCAGCCACAGGAATGAGGCATCTGCTAAAAAAAAAAAAAAAAAAAAAAAAAAAAAAAAAAGAAAAAAAAAAAACCCGCAGACACAGCACACTTTCATTACGTTTTAACTGATGATGTTGCATAGTCTACATCTTCCCTTTTGGCAACATGTGTTTAGAATGGCACAAGCACAAAAACCCACTGATTCCAGCAGAGTTGGACAGAGTCGAAGTGCGTAATCCATCCAAGTTCTTGTAATAATAAAACAATATTTATATTATACTGTCATATTATCTTAATAAGGAATCATAAATAACTATGTATAACAACTGTTATGTTTACGTTTCATATGTGCAAACAGATAGCACATATCTAAATCACCAAATATCCGTAACAGTCTTAAAAATCCTATACCGGTCAGGCTCTAACAGCAAACAAGACAACAAGCTTCACTTCAAGTCACCTGACCAAATTCAAAAAAAATCCTATGTTTGGTTGATTTCAGCAGAACATTGTTGAAACACCATCTGTACTTTAATACCAATGATCTGGCTTATTTCAAATAGACTCTTGCTTTCATCACTTTTCATATGTATCATGCAGAGTTTTTCAAAGCTGATGTAATGAAAACTTTCAACTGTTCACTTATTTTTCTGAAGATTTCTGTTTTTCCCCTGGCCACTAAAAGAGGGAACAAATAGTAAGAAAATGTCACCTATATGCATCATGACTTGTTGAGGACTTTGGACTTTAGTGTAAAGCCTCATAAGAGGAAGAGGAAGGCATCCTTCGAGACCTGGTCCCACTTTTAAGTCAGACAGAAGGTTTTTAAAATGGCTTGACAGAAAAGCTCAAAGTTCAGATAAACCTAGACAATATAGTAATCTTTTGCTTACAATAGCAAACAGTAAAGGTTGGACATAGGAGAAGAAAGGGCTATGTAGTGCGGTTGTAACAGATAAAGCTGGCAAAAGTATAAAATCAATACTTGAAACATTCTCTGGAGAACCAAACAGTAAACAAACTGAGCCCCAGCCTGTGAGGAAATTTTAACCTTCACAGATCCAATATCCACAACTGCCAGTGGGTCGGCCCTGCAATAAGGCAACTTTATTAGGCCATCTTGGGGGAAAGAAAGTATGCCTGCTGGAACAGACTCTGTGGGATTCTGTATTTTTAGGATTTGTAATTTTAGGATTTCTGTGAATAAGCCTCTTGAAAATTCATTGTTGATTTCTAAAAAAACTCACTGAAACGTGTGAAAATGCATTGTATAGTTTTGCCTGCAAAATATAATATACTTCAGCAAAAATCAAAGAAATCTTACACAACAACCAAATAGAACAATAATAAACAATAATTTGAGAAAGAAAAAGTAGTAGTCTCAACAAATGTTGACACGAGACACAGAAAAAAAAAACATAGTGGTCCGCAGGAGGAGCAAATGAAATACAGCCCCAGCAAAAGCTGACGAAAGGAATGAGATTCAAAGAAAAGATCTAAGCTGTCATAACATTGCAGAGACCATTCATTAGAGGAAAGGGGCTTGGTTAAAAGTACAAAGCACAGTGCAGTAAGGCTGCACAATTAATTGTTAGAAAATTGCAATCTCATTTTATACTTATGTGCGATCTCATTTCGAAATGACAATGATTTAAAAAAGCAAAACAAAATAAAAGATGAAAAAAGCATGTGAGAGATGACGAAGCTGTAAAGGCCAAGAAAGTGACAGGAGAAAATCCGTCCCGGTCAACCACCCAAACATCAATAACGGGAACCTTATACAGCGCTTCCCTATACCCGTCGAACTCCCGCAGGCACAAAGAAATTACGGAGGCTATCACTTATCACCTGACCAAAGATATGGCTCCCATCAACACTGTGCAAAACGAGGGATT